TTGCCGGACGCGCAAGCTCAGCGGCCACGGCTCACAGGCCCAGCCGCTACGCGGCATGCGGGATCCTCCCAGGCCGGGGCACGAACCCGTATCCCCTGCATCGGCAGGCGGACTCTCAACCACTGCGCCACCAGGGAGGCCCCCGAAGATCAGTTCTTATTCACAGAAAGCCTAAATGTACAATAGAAAATTTGGTAGACTGTGATTCATCCACTGTTACACAGACATTGAAATGATGGCTGTGAAGAGTTTCTAAGCATGTAGAAAGTGCTTATACTTGGAACAAGAAAAAACAGAATACAAAATTTTACTAAAACTAAAACAAAAGTAAAAGTCAACTCAGAGGAAGCCTAGAAGGCATTGCACCAAATATTAATGGTAGTAGTTATCCTTAGGTGGTGAGATTATGGATGATTTTTTTTTCTATTTCTCTGTTTTCTAAATTTTCAATAATGAGTGTATTTGGGGGGGGCACACCACGTGGCATGTGGGATCTTAGTTCCCCGACCAGGGATCGAATCCATGCCCCCTGCAGTGGAAGTGCAGAGTCTTAACCACTGGACTGCCAGGGAAGTCCCAAGTGTATTGTATTTTGGAATGGAGGAAAAGCATTTTAACTAGTCCCACCCTTGCCCTCACTTAATTTTTTAAATCTATGAAACCCATATGGCACCAGCCCAAACATTCGGGTCCAGACCTACTGTGTGACCTTTGGGTCATCTCTCTGAATTCATTTCCTTGCCTGAAACATGGGAATGATGACTCAGTGCGTGGACGAGGACATGAAAGCCCCAGCCCTGCGCCAGGCACACAGCAGGCCTCCACCGCCCTCTCCCAGCCCACCTTGTTGGTGTTGACGCCGTCCCGCCCGGCACCCCCCATCACGTAGAGCCGGCCGGCGCAGGGTGCCACGGCAGCTGAGCTCACTGCCTCTGGGAGCGGGGCCGCAGCAGCCCAGGTGTTGGAGAAGGGGTCATAGCGCTCCACGCTGCACAGGCGCCGCAGGCCATCAAAGCCGCCCACCACGAACAGCTGTGGATGAGGGGGTTGCCAAGAGTCAGGGCTGTCTGCGTCTCGGCCCCACAGCCTCTGGCTGTGTGTGGAGAAACTATCCCACCAGGGGCGCATCCCAGCTCCTGGCTCCGCGTCCTGACTCCCCATTATTGAACCTCCCTTAGCAGATTTTCCTGTACTAACCGGATGATACTGGTTTGTAGGATGGGTGCTGAATACAGATTAGATCTGTAAAATAACTGGCACCAAGTTGATGCTTAATAAAAATACCTACTAATTTCTTAAAGGTTTACCACCTTACTTAAGTGATCCTACGAAGCACTTTTATTTGCATTTCTGAATTAGGGATGTAGCTTGCAAAGATAATTGGCAGGTTTTTTTTTTCCTTTTTCTTTTTGGTCTTAAGTGGTAGAGTCAAGATTCAAACCGAGGCTTGTTGGCCCCAGAGGGCACACCCTTGACCACCTGCTACTAGGCTGTACTGTTACAGTAATTACTATCATTATTAGCATTAGCATCATTATGCAACTTTGGGCAAGTCCTTTTTTCTTTTGGGGGCCTCAGATCCCTTCTCACAGAGAGCGGATTGTAAAGGGACTTCCCCCAGTCAGCCCATAGATCTCTACCTTGACCCCAAGGCAGCAGCTGCCGGGTGTCCCTACCTGCCCCTGCACGACCGCCATCTTGTGCCTCCACCTGCCCTTGTGCAGCGAGGCCACCTTGATCCAGGTGTGCAGATGGGAGCTAAACATCCACACATCACGGCTGTTGATGTGGCCTCCTAGGGAGAGAGAAGCAGCTGTTCCCAGGCCCTCTTGCTATCCCCAGGGGAGCAGGGACTGTGTTTTATTCTCTGAGTCTCTAGGACTCGAATCTCAGGGAGGGCACCGTCCATTGGTATCAAACCGATCTTTGCCACTGTCAAGACAACAGGGGAAATTCTTAATTTCCCTATAAAATTGGGTTGTAATGGGAATTAAATAACTAATGTAAGCTGCTTAGCATAATGCACAGCACATACTAGGCTAGTTAAAGAGAAGTGATCAGTACTAATCTGAGTTGAAGTCAACATTGCAAGGGTGGAGTCACAGCAGTGATTGGCTCTGCAGTACCACCTCAGCTAGTAACTGTAGGTTATCAGGACCGATCTGCTCCTATAGCCTGGTTGGAGGGAAGAACAGAGGGCGGCGCACGGGAAGTGATGAGCCAATCCTGTGGGACTCCGGCTATGGCTCCGCCCTCACCAGAGACGTAGATGTCATTGCGGAGAGTGCAGGTCGCGAACTCTGAGCGCGCGAAGCCAGGCACGCTGGGCAGTGGGGTCCAGCGCCGGCTGTCGGGATGGTAGGCGTCGGCGAACGGCAGCTTCAGGAGCCCCTTGCGATCGCAACCGCCGATGACCACGATCACTTCAGCTAGGTCCATGAATCTGGCGTGGGGACAAGCCCAATGCCGGTTAACCCACACACGTGTTTCAGCCCTCTTTCATCTGCTCATGGACTGCACTATATGGTCCTGCTGCCCTTCTGTGCGCTTCTGCTCCGCACCCTCCGCATGCTGGACTCTGCCACTTTCAGCCTCCCCTCTGGCTATTGAGGGGAAGAGGGGCACTACTCCTTACCCCATTCTACTGACCTCTAAGTCACAAGAAAAGAATCTTTACAGAGTCCTTACCCTTACCTAGAAAAATCACCTTGTTTAATCCTGACTTTGGCTTGCAAAAGTCATGTAGCTGTAGGAGACAGAGGTGGAATTCAAGCCCAAGTTGGTGTGCCACTAACTCATTCTCTTCACCCTTTTCTGACCTCCATCGTGGACTAATTTTGCTGTGTCCCTACTATAACCATCTCCTAAACTCATCCCCTAATCACTAAATCCATTGAACCAGGCTACACACCCTTTCAGCAAATCATTCTCCCCTCCCACTGACCCCTCAGACTTCTGGCCCCACCAGAATTTCCAAACCCTTTAGCCAATTGCTACCTAATTCCTTTGACAAATATTGAACATCTTGCACCAGGCCCTGAGCTTACTGTTGGAGATACAGTGATGAGTATTCCTATGAGGGTGACAGACCATCTTGACTACTCCATCCGAAGTCGTCTTTTTGTCCCCAAGCCCTGCCTATTTATACCCCTTACTAGACTGTGCTCCCTGAGGGTAAAGGGTCCACACTGAGGCAGAATGTGCACGAGATGTGAGATTCCTGCATTTCCCCCATTGGACTGTGAACTCTTTAAGGACCCAGCACCAAGCCTATGAAATGTCTGTTGTATGTATGACAATCTCATTCAAGAGGCATGATCAAGTGATAGGATTAAAGGATGATGGCGGGTTGAGCGAGCGCTTGAACAGGGGAATAACATAGGAAATAACGCAGGGCAGGAGGCAAGGGGCAGCTGGGAGGGAGGGGGCGGGGCGTACCTCCGCGGCCGGGCCCGCAGTGTGCCGGTCTCGCGGCCCAGGATGAAGCAGGCACGGGCCTCTAGCAGCAGCGGGCGGCACTCGCCGCAGGCCTGCAACAACTCGTCAGCCTCTACCTTCTCCAGGAAATAGGCGGGCGCCAGCAAGGGCAGGCGCACGTGCTCCAGCAAGCGCCGCAGCTGTCCGCGGCGGGCTGGCGGGTCGTGACGCACCCAGCGCATGGCCGCTTCGAACACGGCCTCCTCGTGCGCCACGCCCAGCGCTGGGTCGGCCAGAAGCGCTGCCACCTCGTCGGGCGTCAGCTCCAAGAAGTCGGCGTGGCGCGCCACCTCGGCGAAGGCCTGGCGCAGCACGCGGCCGCAACGCTCGGCCAGAGAGGCGAGGGAGAAGGCAGCGGCCACGCGACGCAGCGCCAGGCTGTTAGCGGCGCGCAGGCGACCCTCGAGGAAGCGTGCGCAGGCCTCGCGCAGGCCTGCCACGCCCAGCCGCTCGGCCAGCGCCAGCACCGCAGCCGCCTCGTCCTCCGCGCGCAGCCGCACGCCCGCTCCGTACAGGTAGTCGAGCACCACGGCCAGCGCCGTAGCCACTGATGTCCCGGCAGGGCCCGGCGCCTCGGGTACCACGGGCACTATAGCCAGGCCACGCTCTGGCTGCCCAGCCGCGAACAGGCTGCGGAAGTAGGTGCTGCCCGCGCTAAGCGCTGCGCGGTGGCATGGGAAGTCGCGGCCACCGGCACGCAGCACCACGTCGGTGAGGGTGCCGCTCCGCCGATATGCATTCAGGGTCTGCAGGATGCGCTGTGCATGGCAGGACCCCGCGCACGGCGCCTCGGAGCCCCAGTCCAGCTCCGGCTCCTCCGGCACCGGGCCCTCCAGCGTCCTGCCGGGCAGAGAACACAGACCGCGTCGTCGGCAAATCCACCTGGCTGGGGCCCGGTTAGAGGCAGGAGGCCTCTCACCCACCATTCCTTCCGTTGGTTCACTGGTTTACTCAGGCAGGCGCGCATTATCTTAACTAGTGTGATTTCATTCATGCAACCACTCTTCCTTCCATCCACCCGTCGGGATTCCTAATGGCCTCAATGAGCTAGTCCCAGCCTACCTGAAGGTCTAGACCCTGTCTTAGCTGTACCACCTCCTCCTCCACTTACCCAATCAGCCATACTGCTCTTTCTGTTCTTCAGACGTGCTAAGCTTTTTCCTATCAGTATTGGCAGGAGACAGATGGCATGCTCTCAGATGGGGTAACTTAAGGAGATTCTAATGAAGGATTTACAAAAGCATAGACAGTGTTTTGGGACTCCCACAAGGGATAGAGCAGTGCCACATGGCTACCAACAGCAGGGAGACTTTACCTCCCCAAGGTCTAAAGGCAGAGGGCTGGGAGATTATTGGAACCTGCACAAAATATCTGTATAAGGAGGGCCTTCTGACAGGAGCTGTAGCCTTTGGTCAAGGAATTCAGTCGACCCCACAGAGATCCAGTATGTGCGGGGGTATAACTCTACCCCCATCTCCTCACCCAGTCCACTCTCCTTGGGATCTCCGGCAGGTGCTCCCTATTGACCACACCCTGATTATTCTATTTAATGTCTGCCCCTCCCCAAGAGTACAGGATCTGGCCCATAGTAGGTGCTCAGTTAGTGCCTGTTCAAGGTCGAGTGAATACATTAAGTTAGTATTTATTGAGAGCCTTTTCTGTGCCAGTCAGTGAACAAGACATAGTCCCTGCCTTCCTGGAGCTCGCAGTGTGGCAGGGTCCCATGGGGAAGTACAGAGCATTAGGGGATCTCAGAAGGGGCACTGAACCAGTTGGAAGGGAGCCAGGGAAGGCATCCCTGAGTGGAGACTGAGAATGATAAGTAGAATTAGCCAGGTGAAGGGAAGGGAGTGGAGGGAGGAAGTCTCCAGCTGAGAGAACAGCCTGTGCAGAGGCCCAGAGGGGAAGAGGACATGAGGTTAGAGCCCAGGCTGAGAGGGAAGTTGACCTTTTTCGTAAGTTTTCTGTTCTCAAGGAAGCCCTGTGGGGGAGTGGAAAGAGCTGGCTCTAAGGAGTGATCCGGGTGCTAATCCTGCCTCTGCCCCTGACTCACTGTGTGACCTGCTCCAGTTACGTCCCCTTCAGGTTCCTCAGCTGAAATGCGGTCATAATGCCTCTCTCACATGGTTGTTGTGACTTGGTGACTGTGAAATGGAATGTATGAAAAGTGCTAGGTATACAGTACAGACTCAACAAACGTTTCCTTACATGTTTTTACCCAAGGAAGGGAGCACACCACGTGTGTTAGTTGCTTTTATGCATAATTTCATTTGATCCTCACAACCTGAAGAGCTTCCTTAGACTTCCTCCCCGCTTCTTTCTTAAGTTCGTCGTGAGGAAACAGTCACATAGATGGAACCTGCCCTTCAGAGGTTGCTGTGAGGATCAAAGGAGGGGTGTTCGTGAAAGCATTCTGTAGCCTGAAGGGCTGTAACGGATTGGTTATGATTTGGCCATTATGAACATACAGCTTCTGCTTGCATACTTCCAGGGACAAGGAGTACACACCTTTATGTAGCAACTTACTCTAGGGGAGCAGACCTCTGCTCTCTGCTCCTTGCTTCTCCCTCCAATCTCCTGATCCCAGCTGCTCTGCCTCCCCTGAGACTGCTTTGCCCTGGAGGTCAGATCTTGCCCAGGAGTCAGTCTGGCTTTCACTGTTTATGCCTGGGCCATCCAGTGTGGTGGATCCCCTGTCTTAGCATCAAAGGAAGTGAGCTTCCTGATGGGCAGGGTCCCAGGAAGTTAACTACTTTGCCCAAGTAGAGGGGCTGGGCCCTGAACCCACCTGGCTGTAGACTCTGCATGCCTAGCGGCTCAGCCACACTTGCCAAGGTTGGGGTGTATCCCAAGGAGCAGTGCAGGACGACCGGAAGGAGTTGATAGGGGTCATGGGAGCATGCTGCCTTCATTCTATTTTCCACTGGCTGAGAAGGCAGCCCACTCTAAGCTGACATCCAAGAGGGCAGGTCTCATCAGCATCAGGTGGGACTTCTCTCTGCAGATGTCCCGGCACAAGGGGCTGCCAGGGGAGAGGGAGGGAGTCCCCTCTTGGGGAGTGCGCCAGTACTTTTTCATTCATTCTCCTGCTATCTCCTGCACTGGGCACTGTGGACACACTGGGACATCAGACCCAGTTTCCACCCTAGGGATTTCCAGTCTGGGGGCCGAAGGACAACCCGTTGGAACCTGAAAGGTAGCGATTTCCAGGCAAGGCTTGCTCTAGTTTTCTCTTATCCCAGCTAAGAGTCTAGGCACCTCAAGCCAAGGGTGCTGACATAGACTGAGGTACCCAGCCCCTAGAAGTTGACATGCCACCCTGTTTCTTTTTCACAGTCACACCTACACCCACAAACACACACTCATACTTGTAGACATGACACAGCCAGGGGAGTCCTGCATCCTAAGTCCCCAGATGTACCTTGCACTTACCTGGCCATGACCTCTCCCAGGCTCTCTGCAGCTGCTGCTCCTGCACTGACCACTCCTGTTTGTCCTGCTGCCCTGCACCCCTGGCAGCCTGGGTGCAATGTCCCTGCCGCTCTGCCTGGACTCCCGCTCAGGCTCAACTGCAGGAGGACAAAGGGGATGGACGCTGGCGGGGGGGGGGGGGGGGGGGGGGGGGGGGGG